ATGTAATTGAACGTTCAAGTGTGGGATTAAGAGGCGATCCGTATTGAAATGATCGATGTGCAAAGGTGCACAAACATCGACGGATCCATTCTTACACATTTTTGTACGAGTTAAATAGCCTGCATTATTTTTATCTGCGTTACCGGCGTCGTCATCTTCAAAGTAACCTGCAGCTGAGAGGAAACCCTGTTTATAGTCACTAGCGTGGTTAAGAAGTGTTTCCAAATAAGCTTTATACATGTAATGATGGGATTCGAAAACCATAGTGTTGTTTATTTCCATTTTAACCTGATTAAAAAAAGTACCTCCTACATAATTTATCAAAGCTAGTTGAGGGGTCGGATCTGTGCTATTTTTTTTAGGTGGTAACTTTATATTAAGTCGGAAGGAGATATAGGCTCTTGAGAACTGTAAATAATGTCTCGAATCGGTTATCGTGAAGGTATAAGGTCCTGAATCATTGATAGGGGTTGAGGTAGGAATGGTCAACCAAGCACTGGAATCAAATATGACTTGAGTTGCGGGTACATCAAACAGGGCTAATTCACTGCGTGTCGCAGGGGTTGATTGAGGATCTATTAATTTTCCCATTGTCCAAAAATATCCTGAGTATGGATTTTCTTGGGCTTACGACCTCTAGAGTTGTGTTTCTTCGACGTTTTTTTTGCAGGTTTTCGCAAGTTCTTCTTTTTCGTTTTAGATTTTTTGGTCTTGGGGTTAGTTTTCTTAGAAGTAGTTTTAATAAAAGGTCTGCGTCTGGTAGGAGTTCGTCGAATGCCTTGGCCTGACTGAGATAGCTTATTTATAGCTTTATCAACCAGAGATGTATAACCCTTACGACCGTGTTCTTTGAAAGAATCTATGAAATTTCGACCATCAGCCATATCGTTGATGATGTGACCGCCTGTTGATAAAGCTTCGGTAGCTATATGTTTTGACATATTTTTGGCTATAGGCAGAATAGCTCGGAAAAGCTTCCCAAATAACCCTCCCAGGCCTGAACTACCTCTTTGATACTGAAAGCCCCGAAAAGCCCCTGCACCTTTCTGATCAATTTGAGCTTGGAAAACGGAAGACCAGTCAATACCATCGGGATCAAAATGGGGTGTAAACATGATACTTGGACGATCTAATTAAAAATCTATCTTTCGTTGCTTCTCCCTGAAGTGTAGGATTAGAGCGATTTTACCTGAATGAAAATCTATGATGTGATCTGTGTCATCTCTCATCTCAAACTCAATTTGATCGAAGTCATGATTTAGAACATCCAAATACTGAGGCTTGCTAAAGGTGGTCTCAATTGTTCTACCTGTATCACCTTTCAAACTTACAACTCTCAGTAGGGGTGCCCTTACATTGGCTATGATTTGATAATCTACAACATTACAATAGATATACATAAGCTCAGATGCTAAGTGTATGGGAAAATCTGAGACGTTCTTGGAGTCACCTTTAAATAGGGACTGGCGAAACCCTAGAAGGTATGAAAATTGTTCTGAAAGTCTTACTTCTTTCACAGAAGACTTTAGCCTCAAAACGACTCGTTGCGTCAACGTATCGTACTCAAATTTAATCATAGCACTCAAATCCTTGTCTAATTTAGCAGAGAAGGCCTGCAGCCCTTTTTCAATTTCTTGATTAAGAATTTCAATGAACTGGGACCCTTGCGTATAGTTACACAACGGTATGAAGATGTTAAGAATATCGCTTTCTTTATTAACAGTGACCTGGATACAGTTAGCAGCTAAACCATCAGAGCCTAATCGACCATGGAAGCTATCAAAAGTATAAGGATAATCAAGGTGGTTAAAGCCATCTCAAATTTTTGACCCGAGGGGCAAATCGTCTTCGGGAGATGGGCTTTAAAATGACCTATTTTATTGTTACGTTCAGAATTACTTAGCACCGTCACATAGAAGTCCTGCATGTCGTACAAGTAGGTGTAAGTTTCAGTGAGGGGTTAGGCAGTAAATATCCAATGCTAGATGCTAAAATGACAGTCCAAATCTTTTGCTCGTGACACTGCTTGAAACTCAAGTTATATATGGAAACGAACACAACAAGGTAAATCAGGAAGACTTGACATAAAAACACCGTTAGGGTCTTAGAAAATTTCCGATGACAAAATACCCAATCTTTCTCCTCATTGAAAGGCGTCCCTATTGTAGAGGTGGAGATCCCTCGAACGTCACATTCAGAGATCATTTTTATTTCCTTTGAGGCGTAGATACAGTAAACTGAATAAGTTCATTTTCGTAAATTAGACTTTCAATCGTTTGACCCTTAAGATCACTGATAATGTATGCAGGAGGGTTTGCAAATAACTGCTTAGTCACTATGAAAACTTCCGTGGTGTAATTACCTTTATAACTTTTACGAAAAAGCTGCTTGCCTTTTGATAGACGCACTGTTGTACCCACGTCAAATTTATGGGTTTTTCTAACAGGCAGGATCTGGTGACCATACCTTTTTCGCCAGACTATTTCGGCATTCGAGTTATTAACATCACATGGTCGTAAGCCATCTAAGCTTTTCAGAGGGGTGGTGTTTAAGGAATGAACAACCTGTGGCAAGATGTCAACCCATCTCCTAAACGAGGGTCCCTGGGTAGAAAAATATTTAAAAAGTTTTGTCTTCAGCCTCCTAACACAGTTTTCAGCCAGACCACACTTGATGTCATGGTTCTGGGGTATTTTCAGACTAATTTTGTTGTGTGAAAGCAAGCCTTTGAAAGAATTGTTTAAAAATTCTTTACCTTCATCTGTGTATAATCTAAAGGGAACCCTATTGTAATGTTCGCTTGAGAGGATGCGTTCATATGCTAAAGTGACTTCTTTACCTGTCTTTCTCTTGACTTTTTCAGCCCAAACAAAACGTGAAAGCACGTCTACAACTACTAAAATATAACAATGTCCTGAGTTGAAACGGCTTATGTTGGAAAGAACTGCTAAGTCAGCTTGATGATCTGAGTCAATCCATGAAGATTGGGTAAGGCCTTTACGGAAATTATATATAGCCGGGGCATGTCTAGTGTATACATCGTTGGATCTTAGATAATTTTCAACATCCTTCATTTTGATGTGTTTGTTGATTTTTCTTGAAGCCAAAAGCAAATTTCGTTTACTAGATAGACCTCCAAAATTTGAAGGATCTGTGTAAATTTTTTCAAGAACATCGTCAATCCCATCTTGAGACATTAAAAAGATCCTCGGTTGACTCGTCGTTATTCGTCGTTTCGTGGTCTGCAAGCGATAAATCGGCAACGTTCTCATCGGTTCCATTGATTTTCATAGCTTGTTCACGACGTTTTTTATTACCTATATCCGAAAAGGAGAACCCGCTTTCTATCAAAGCTTCGATGAATCTCTTACTTCCAGTAGGTGGTACACTACGGGACGCGTGGGTGTTAGCTAAGTCCTCAATGAGGTCCTTTGCTTTTCCACCTCTAAGCTTGGTTCCTTCAATAACAATTTCACCATCAGGGGCCATCTCAAAAATGTCAGGGTTAGAAGCCAGATGATTCCAAATTTTTTGGTAGCTCGACATGCTTTTTCCAAATTTTAAACGTGTAGTTTGAAAATGTTGGAAACCTGCGTTTGAAGCTAGGCTACTTGCGGCATCCGGTACAGGGGTAGCCTCCCGTACGTCTCGATTCGAATCTCCCGCCTCCGCGGTTTTCGAATCTAGGGGACGCCCTTGCCCAGGTAAGGACTCAAAAATCAGTTTAGTGTCAACAAGTTTTTGCATTATGTTTCTATAAAGTATAATTTTTTGTGTCTGTATCTATACTAGTATCAAAAAATATTTTTTTCAATTCATTTTCAAGAAATGTTAATGTAACGTTTTCCTTAGGAGCTTTAGAGAGTTTCCTAGATAGTTCTAGGTTATCCTGGAAGTCTTGACTGATATGGGGGTCCTTCTTTTGTAGATACTCCTCGCGAGGCATAAGAATAAATTTATCGAAAGACATACTTAGAAATAAGTTCACTGGCAACGGTCAGAATGACTGGTAGCAATACACCTATAAAGCCTGACCCTGTTTGATTAATGGCCTTCTTTGCTTTTGAAATATGACGTATTTTGCACAAATTCCTCAATTCTTTTGAATAAGGCTTGATTTTTAGTTTCTGTTTTCGGGTTAATTTTACACAACCTCCTAAAATGTTGCAAATTGCTTCTATTAAACATGCTACTTCATTTTCAGAAAGGTTTCGAAAGACTTCTTCGTCATGTGCGGCTCTACACAAGTTATCTAGGGTTTTCCCCGTCCAACAAGGTGAATAAATGGAGCCCCGGTCCTTGCAACGCGATTTACTATTTAGGGACATAACAATGAACGAGATCTTGGCTGAATAACTGCTGCGCACTTGGTACTTCTCAGGTGTGTTTTTATCTAAATCAATTAACATATAGCTATGGGGTTCCTTAGTCGCATCTTCATAGGCACTTATCAAAAAGGACCTGTTGCTAGGATAGAGTTGAGATGCCAAATTACGTATCGTGAGGCGGTCAGGGTTGTTTTTGAATAAAACAAGATATTGGGAATTTAGACTAAGATTACGTAGCACCTTGGAATAAAATAAGGAGTGTATCACAACTATGACAGACATATCAAAATGATGGGAAGCGACGGAAAATATTTTTTCAGCTTCAGGGTGCTTATCCAATGAATGCATCAAATCATCTAGAATAAGCAGGGGGCGAAGATGCTTCAATTCTTTCAGAAAGTCTAGTTTAGGTACACCTTCTATCATCTTTACCATAGGGTTTAAAGCGAGATCTGCATAAGCAGGCTGGTATTCATTGTAGGCGAATATTACAATCCCCGGAGCTTTTTTGATATAAATGCTGAGCCTCACGTATTATACGGGAAATCAAGGTCGTCTTTCCGCACGAGCTAGGTCCGCACATTAGCATACATGAGGGCCAGACTAATTGAATTCTTTGGGATGTCATGTGAAGTATCGAATGCTTTTATTAATAGCCTTATATAATTATTAATACCCGAACGGCAGGGTCTTGTAATTCGACCGTAGCATTCTTTTTTCAAACTTGCACCCGAACTTCTTAATTTGGCTGTAATTATAAAGTTCACAGCCTTCGTTTGCAATAATGCTATAAGGAACATTGATGACCTCCAGCTCTTCCTTATCATTCAGCTGCTCCACGTGTCTTTTGATTGCATCGAAGTTCAACAGCCGGTCCGTGTCCCATGTTTGCCTGAATCCTCTTAGCTTGAGAATAGTCGACTCTGTCAAGTTTGGCAAAGTAGGAGTTAAAACATAGGCGTAGCATTTGGGTCCTTGGGTCACGAATTGCGAAATCATATAGCCACGGGGCACTTCCGACACCAGCTGACCCAAATAATCGCCTTGGAGTTCACGGAGTGGATGTGTTTTGTTACATAGGTTCCGTTTCCCTCGAAATATGATCGAGTCGGTGTCTAAAAGAAGCTTAGTTGGGTTGTAATTATCACCTGTATACAGAAGTTCTTTGGGGGGTATGGCTTCTAGAGCTTCGAGCAATTTTAAACGTGCATAGGTTGTCGTGAGTGCCGCATAGTGAATCGCTAGATGGGGCATCACTGTGGATTTAGCAGCCTCTCCATCTTTCCATTTCACGTAAACCAAAGAGGGGTTGACGAGGGTTAGATCAACAATCTCGACCGCCGGCGTATCCAGAAGTTTCCACAATTTTACAGGGTCTGAGATGCATTCAGATTTCGAGTACTCGGACCTCTGACCCATCTAAGAAAGATTTTACGCATTTCAGAAACAACTAACCTTGCCCCAAAGACTGTTAGCCAAAAGTTTAGCGACTTGCCGCAGTTCCGGATTCTTGCGAATTGACCTAATATCAAGTTCGACACCCTCACGATCATAGAATTTTTTGACATATGTCATTTTTCGGTCCTCAAGGCCCTTAGAATCGCCCCCAAATACCCAGTCGGGAAAACCGCTTGCTTCCTAAAATCGATCTGTTTTTAGTACCTTTTTCGCATTACCGTCTTCAACTGCAACATCATGTCGATGTACTGGGACAAGACGCCATGCTGGATACTACCATCCTTCAGCCTAGTCCATTGCATCCATTGTTTCCATTGTACAGCCTACAGATAGAAAAAAGTGTTAGATAATGTATGTAAAAACTTGCCTTGTAAACTTTTAAGATTACATAGCCTCTTTGCAAAGCTTTCTCGAGTTCAATGGTCGCCCAAGAGCCCACGAAAGACCTTTCTGAGGGGGTATGCGTACACCGTTCTTGGGCCTTAGACTCCATACACATTTTACAGAGACCAAAAAGTAGCGTTCCTTTCAGGTCACGGTAGGGTAGAACAGGTACATAAAGTTCACGAGGAGGTAGAACTTTACACCTCGCAGCTCCTTGGAAGACCAATTTTTTAGAAGATGTGATGGGAACCACAATTCTGTCAACATCCACGTCTTCAGGTGGACCCACGGGATATCTAGAAGTCAACAGATTAATGTGTTTTTTAGGCTCACGGAGAATATTTGTTGACGCTAGGGTATAGACTATTGAAGTCATAGTATTGAATTTCATGGTCCTCATCGCTCTTTGCAAACGTTTTGAAACATTCAACTCGGCCTCCGTAGAAATATTCTCGATGCGAGATAGGTTCCTCAAAACTAAATTCAGGATCCGAACATTGACGTACCGAATAACGACTCGTTTTGAAAAACAAATCAAGGTCCGAATTCTGCTTTCTCTCCTTGCGAATCTAGTATTGAAAATGATCCCACTTAGAAAGCCTCGCCCCACCTGGCATTCCCATATTACCTTTACGGTATAACCTAACCCTTCTAGGGCTTCACGTTTTAGTCTGTCCCTGGTTTTCACCTCGGCCCATGAACGTCCAGGTAAAAAGTCCCGTTCCGTGTATTTGCATTCGTGTAGATGATAGTAGCATCTATGTTTTTAGATGTGACGTTTAAAAAACATGATCTTATACCCATAAACCTCAAATACGAGTTTTCTCTTCGACGATCCTGTGTTTTCCTTGACGTAACCATCCACTTTATATTTAGTCGTGCCAACCTGAAAAAAATAAAAAGATGGTTTTTTATACTTACAGTTACTTCACCTCCCAAGGTTCCAGCATGCCTCAAGGAGGGGTAAAGGGTCTTCCGCAAATACTCTAGATAGTTTAGTGCTAGCATGGATTGATTTGGGGCTGTGGCCTCAGGGGTCAGGGCAATTACAGGAGGTAACTTTGGGTTGACGAATAGTTTCCGAAACACCTTCATCGCCGACGAAGCTATGGTCGTGGCTTCAGCGAACGGATCTACCTTTAGGTAGCCCAGAAATGCATCCGCAAAGGCACAAACGCCTTTGTGCAATAAAACAACATCTAGATTAGCATTTAAAATACAATGAAAAAAGCTAACCTTGTAAACAATACTTTTCTAGTTCCCTTTTGATATTAAATCGAACGCCTCGTTCTTTTTGGCTTAGGTACCATTTCATAAAAGCTTCTCGACCTCGCTTCGACATCTGCTTCGGATAATAATCCCTAGAGGGTGGCAATTCACGGTCCCGACTTTTTAATCGTTCAAATGTGTGGCTGCCGTGCGGAAAATAGCCTGTCAGAAAAAAGTTGTTAACAATTTAGTATCCGTATTTACCTTTTTCCTCGGGAAGGTTGAACGCCTTCGCAAAGTCCGAGAGAGGCATAGGTAGGAAATTGAGTGAATCAACAAAGCGAGCGCTTCTGCGAGTGAAAGCTGGTATAACTTTCGGCCTACAAGTATCTCATTTGTGGCAAAATTTCCAGCTTGAAAAATAGCCCGTCGTATGAAGTTTCCATCGTATCTAAATTGGCATCTAGAGTATCATTGAAAAATATATACCCCTTCAAATTGTGAGCTATAACTGTCACGTGCTTTTGTGGTCTAATCCATTCGAGAAATTGTAAAATAATGGATTCATCCTCGGGGGAGCCATAAGCTTTGAACACATGCAGCTTAGAGCCTCCACATTCGTGGCATTCTGCAGAATCAGAGGTTGATGATGGCACCCAGTCTCTGCAGTTGACGCACGATCTTAGCGCCACTAGCAAGGTTGGATGATGATAATTTCGAACACCCTTCTCAGTTGACCTCTCGACCAGAGCAGACTAAAAACAATACTAGAGGATTCAAGGTAAAGACTTACTTCAATGTCGAAGACGATTGTTTTTCGCAGATTTTTTTCTTCTTCGTCTTCCAGCTTGCGATGTCTAGCCTTCAACAACTTTTCTTTCTGCGCCTCCGTGAGACCCTCCAATTCTTTTGAGGCATTCTTTTCGAGCTCTGCGTTGTGATATTCAAATTCTTCAGGCGTCATTTGAGCAAGGCCGTCAGGATCTGTACATCGTATTGCACAAAAATGCTTGACGCCTTCTCGATGTTTCTCATTGCATTTAGGGCAAAACGAGGTGTGACATATATGTCTTGTGGAGGCTGTGCGGCCCAATCTGAGAGGTTGTCCACATTTTGGGCACCTTTCAATTCGAGCACACCATGATAGGCCACCCTCAGATCCCGACATTAAATGTCTATCGTAGCATTCCAGAGTCCAAAATTCCCTAGAGCATTTGGTGCAGACTCTCAGCGGCGATGAGAGACTTGGGTCCTGACAGGGTGTCAAGTCACCGTCGTCTGTATCCAGGCCACAGGCAAAGCAACGATATGGACATCTATAGTGTGCCGCATTCTCGTTATAACGAACGTTGCAGATTTGGCAAAGTATGCGCTGCCAATATATCTTGAAATCCGCTTGATGTGTAGATAGTGCCCCTGCCCTGACTTCCGGTCATCGAGACAAAGGTTGAGAATATTCTTTTTAGAAATTCGTCCTTTTGTATCGCCATCATACATCAAAAAGCCACCTATAAATTCACAGTTTTCAAAAAGTTTTTCGAAAGTACCTAGGTTGTAGACCCTCAACTTGTATTTGGGGTACGCCTCAGACAATTTTTTCAGATCCGAGATATCATAGTCCCGGGTTTTTGAGATCATAGCCTTCTTCATAACTTCCAAAGTTATTTTCTTTAGGAAAGATTTTCGCTTAATCAAATTGTCCCATTTTGACTGTGCTTTCCGTTTCGATCCTGCAGAATCGGCTTTTTGTAGCTCAGCGTAAGTCAGAGCCATGGCCATAGCTATAGGTAGACAACGTTTGGATCCTATTCTCAACATCAATTTCAGATAAATTCTTTATTGTTTACCCTGAGGGTTGGTAAAAACCCTGCCATCGTTTCTGGAAAGCATTTCTAGTCGAGTTGAGGGTCTTCCAGAGGCTTTAGGGACTTCACGCGTCAGAGTTTGGAACCTCCACGTCGTCTAAATTTAGCAGTGTTTTTTGGATCAATAAATAATTACCTCAGTCCCAATCAGATTCAGCACCGTACTTCCACTTTGTATCGATCGATTGATTTCGTTGAGTAGGGTCAGGGCCAAGCGCCTGGGGTTTGCAGCTCCGAAAGGTACCTCGACCGTAAGCCCAGGGCTTGAGGTTGCCGACAAACTGCAACTTGCCTTATCGGCACCTAAAAAACTCTGCTTGAATCTAGAAACCTCTGAATACCTGCCACAAACGGAGCTATCAAAGTTTCCAGTATATCTTCGAGTTCGTTGGGTCTCGCGACCGCAGCATCCTCCTTGATGAGCACATCGACGACGCTCTCGCAGATGCCAAAGCGATTTTTTGTCGCATCACAGGTTTGAGGTCGTACATGGACGATTTTTTTGAACAAGTGGGACACCCCGTTGATAGATATCAACTTAGCATCCTATTTTAATGTTTGATATTAGAATAAAATTACTTTTTTGGACTTGAGGCTGCTCGCCTTTTTTTGAACCTTCGAGGTTGAGGTGGCTCCAGGGTTCTGAAAAATGTAAATGCGTTATTAATTAGTTATGGAACCTTAGATTCGTTGACTTTCTTCTTGATTTTACCCATCTCTTAAGGATGCTTCAATTGAAGTCGAGCCGTAAGAATCTGCAATTTCATGCGTGTGTTTTCTGGAATATATTTTGATTATGAGGAGATCACAAATGGAAAAGTTTTTTATTTATTTAAATAGAAGACAGGGGAGCTACCCTTTTGAACATTGAAATTGAACACGTATGTTGGAGTTTGAACAACGTCTTTTTTTGGATTGGATGGAGGCGGGTTGAATTTTTCATTTGTGAAGTATTCCAAAAATGGATCCTCCTGCACGGTGTTCGTAAAGCAGCCCTAAACTCAGAACTACAAAACTATCATTTTTACAAAAAACCTGTTTCATGGGGGCTGAATGATAGTCCTCAGGGAGCATTCGTTTTTTTGACGTACCGCTCATCGTCGGCAGCAAGTTCGAAAAGATGAAACTCTGTAATCAAGTAAGATTTGTATCTAAAAAATCTTAAATAAATCGAATAAGCAAACGCGTTCTAACATGTAGATAAAAAATAAGCTCAAATAAATCGCATAAGCGAACGGGTTCTAATCTGGGTAAAAAGAAAATGAAATAAATCGAATAAGCGAACGGGTCCAGACCTGTAAGAAAAAAAAGGGGGAGGGCATGATATTATGAAAGAGTTGCGAAAAGGCATGTAGGGCACAAAAGCTTTTAATTATGAGGCTGTGAGAGGCTGTCGAGATTTAAAGATCTAAAAGCTCATGGATGCTAAAAGCCTATGGGCAAATTCCAGCCCTCCCACCCATTATCAACATCCGAAAAGCTTTTAAGCTGCGCTGAACCCATTTCCCCATCACTTTTCTCCTTGCTCAACCCCCTTATCGATTTACGTAAAAAAGTTATTTGAAATCCTTTTTATTAACCCCATTATATTTCAGCCATTCACTATATTTACAATATTTCAGCTACAACTCTAGCTCCAATACTTGGACGTTACCGGCAATCGGAGAATGCCTCCCAAGGTGATAAAAATATGCTAATTTCATATGCTTTTTTAAGAAGGCTCCCGCGTCAAGCCGTAAGAAGACCAAGCCCGAAAAACCCTCTAAACACGAGGAAAGTGAGGTAAGTTGCCTCGGACCTTCACATATCTTGTATTTAGGAATCGAGTGAGGCTGAAACGGACATTTCGTCTGATTCAGACTTCGAGCCACCGTCTAAAAAACCCAAAGCAAAAGTGAGTGTCTTTTTGATTCTTCAAACTTGCAATTCTTTTAAAAAATTGCACCAGATTTTTGGAATTTTGTACTATAATCAGACTCCAAAAATTTTGAGTTCTCCGAAAAACCATTGAAAAACATGATCTCTTTTCTAGGTAGAAGATTCGGACACGGATGAGGAAGTTGTCGAACTCGCAAACAAGAAGCCTAAAAAGCCTAAGAAGAAGGTATGTTTATTTGTCTTATTTCAAAGTGTATTAAAGTTATGAGTTAATGTTTATATCCGAGCTTAATTTTAATTATAGAAGGCGCCGACCAAAGCGAAAGGACAGCTCAAGATCCCAAACCCGCAAAGATGGTAAGTAAAAAACTAGTGGTTAGATGTAAGATTCGCAAGGGTACCCTGAGATGGATATGCGTAGGATTTGGGTTCAATTCACTCCCGGCCCCCCCCCCCCTTGAGGCTTTAACCACGCTTTTCCAGGACGACCTGCTCGAGCTCCAGAAGACGATCAACCAACTCTCCGGGTGCAAGGCAAACTTCTCGGACCCATCCGAGAAGGTGAAGCTTTGTTCAAGGAAATTTTATACTTTTACAGGTATCCAAACTCATGGTGTCCTACAAGCCTCGAAGTCTTACCGACAGTTACACAAAAATGCATACCTGGTCGCAACCACGAGCCTTGAGGGCCCTGGTGATCATTCTATGCCAGGCTTGCGCGATAGCGAGACCCGAGCCCGTGACCTTCGACGGAGAAACGACCGTACTCACGGTCAGGCTGTGCCCAACGTGCTCAAAAGCCAACCGATCAGTCGGATACACCAACTTTTCCGAGATCCAGATGAAAGATCACTATGATAATGTGATGGGCGTTTGAAGTTTTTGTGTTTTTGGAAAATAAATGTTGCGGACTAGTAGAACTAGACTGAATAAAATTTTTTTATTGGAGCTTTAAGAACACTGAATTATTGGTACGATCAATACATACTTGTACGCATCCAATTTCCTGGATCAGTTTTTGCGTTGAATCATCGATTGGGGAGAGTAAAAGTTTGTGCAATTTTTCTTTATGTCGCCTCATATTGAATCGGGACGTGAAGGTGGCCATGCACACGTCGCATTTGTAAGTATAGGGCTTCGAAGCATGTTTCGTAGGCGGTTTCTTCAGGACCCCGTCTGATCCATGCTGAGAGGGAACTACATCTATATAGGAATCAACCTCCTTGGGAATATTAGAGGGTAGCATGTTGTTTGGGTCGGACATCCTATATGATAAAGGGTTTGAAAGCCTCAAGGGTTTTATATGGGAGTTCGGAGCCCGGAACCTATTTTCCTCATAAGAAACCAATTCCTAAGCATTTGCTCGTTTTTCAATAGATTCTTCGAGCTGAAGAGTTTTTTCAGGATGTTAGGGTTTCCGATTTTCGCTAGTATAGTGAGCACAAAAATGCAATAATGCCCACACAACACACTTAGAGGATGCTGAACTCGCCGGATGTAAGTCTTATAACGACGAAATTGGACTAAAAAATCCCTTAGTTCTTTTTGAGGTGGATTACCGTTTGAGCAAAAATAAAAGGCCTCATTCTTGAAATTGATAAAAATACACACCCAGTGTTCCCCAGGTTCATATGAGGGTGCTGTATTAAAAACATATGCTAGAGGTCTTCTAGAGGGTACAATAGGTTTTTGATCACAAGCATGCACCCCTTGCAACACACATTTTGTTTCCTTAAAGGCTCTTAGATAGCCTTCTATTTCACGTGTGGTTAAAGGGTGAAACATCGGATCGTCCATCATTTTCGAAAACAATCTCCTGCAGGTCCTAGATTTTCGAAAAGCTGGGGGGGGGGTATTGATTGATCCCGATCTCGTGATTCAAGAAAGTGTAATGTCGAGCTGCCGTCTCAGGACTTTATTTTCCTTCCTGCTCTTCTTTTTCTGGCTTAACTAAATAATCAAAAATTTACAGGTTTCAGGATCTCGAGCTTGGATTATTCAACCAAAAAAGAAGACATGAAGCTACATATATAGCTTCTTCTAGGGAGAATACCTTATAACTAAAAAGTGTAGGTTCTTTGAAAACAAATCTTTTCTATAGTTTTCAGGTTTACCACAAAAACTGGAAAAAAATTTCTGCGATCGAACTGGAAAAATAAGTGCGATGTTCCTTCGTGGATCATTGCATATACCTGACCTAAACAATGCGGCTCTTCAAACTAAATTAAAGGTAACGAAGATCATTTTCAAACATTCATAATGCGGGGGGATTTAGAATTACCATCCACGGCTCTCTCTTAATGGAATGTTGATTCAACGATGTCCCGAGGTTTTATTTTTAGTTATTGCTTTATATATATATAGGTTAAAGCAACTTGCACGTCGCCGTCGACGTCAAAACCCAAAAGACGGCGGTAACCTTTGTCGTCCATGCGGTTCAAAACTAAATTAGAGGTAACGAAGATTGTTTTTCAAGCATTCATAATAGAAGGATTTAGAATTACCCTTCTATGGCCCTTTTCTAGCGGATTTACTCCACGTCATGCAAGGTTAGCATCGTTTCAATTACTTTCAGCAGCTATTCATTTTAGGAAATAGAATTGGCCTGACCTGGGACCATTACTTCATCGAAATATTGAGCCTGATTCAATGATGTCCCAAGGTTCTATTTTTCAATGCTTTAGATGTATATTTATATCTAGTTTAATACGGATAGTCCACGAAGAAGACGGACATGACGTCGACGTTTTCGCAGCTAACTCTCGAAGTCCAATGGAGGAATGTTGATGATGAGATTCGAGGTTGGCAGCTTCAGACCCTTAGCATCATGAGATTTTCTTTATTCTTTAGAGCTCGAAATATACCCAATAGGTCAATTCTTGAGATATCTTTTAGAAAGAGCTGGGAATCCATCCGATTTGGCAGTTTACCTACGAAGACATGGAGGCGTAACTAAACATTTAAAGACGGTTTGATCGTTACGTTCACCTTAATTGATTTTCATTATAGGGTTTGCTCGTAACGATGAGGACGTGCATGACGTAGACATGTATTTAAGACCGCCCCCCCATGTCAACCTCAATAAACCATACCTCGTCAAATAACTCAAATACATATGAGTCTTAAAAAGCTTTTTTCCTATTTACACATAATACTCAATAACGTCAACAGAAGGGTCTCCAGCAGCCTCCACCCGGCCTTTCTTGTACTCTCAAAATCCTTCTAATTTAAGGTGGCACTGCGATATATCAAAAATATAGATGATAATAACATGGATAGCAAATATACTGTGTAAATTCAGAGCTTTTTCAACCCTGTTTGGGTGCCATGATCCGGCCGAGCGGAGCTTGGCCGGGTCAGGCACCAATATCTCTGATCGGTAATAGCAGCTACTGATAATTTTCTGAATGACCTGTTGCACCCTTTTTCATCAAAAGGGATCGGTAATAGCAGCTATGATAATTTTTGAATGACCGGCCGCACCCTTTTCATCAAAGAGGGATCGGTAATAGCGGCTATGATAATTTTTGAATGACCTGCCGCACCCTTTTTCATCAAAAGGGATCGGTAATAGCAGCTATGCTAATTTTTGAATGACCTGCCGCACCCTTTTCATCAAAAGGGGTCGGTAAGAACAACTATGATAATTTTGAATGACCTGCCACACCCTTTTTCATTAAAAGGGGTCGGTAATAGCAGCTATGCTAATTTTGAATGCCCTGCCGCACCTTTTTCATCAAAGGGGTCGGTAAACAACTATGCTAATTTTTGAATGACCTGCCGCACCCTTTTTCATGAAAAAGGGATCGGTAATAACAGCTATGATAATTTTTGAATGCCCTGCCGCACCCTTTTTCATCAAAAAGGGGTCGGTAAGAACAGCTATGATAATTTTGAATGACCTGCCGCACCCTTTTTCATCAAAAGGGGTCGGTAATAGCAACTATGCTAATTTTGAATGCCCTGCCGCTTTGAATGCCTGCCGCACCCTTTTTCATCAAAAAGGGGTCGGTAAAGTAGCAGCTATGCTAATTTTTTGAATGACCTGCCGCACCCTTTTTCATCAAAAAAGGGGTCGGTAATAGCAGCTATGCTAATTTTTGAATGCCCTGCCGCACCCCTTTTTCATCAAAGGGATTGGTAATAGCAGCTATGATAATTTTTGAATGACCTGCCGCACCCTTTTTAATCAAAAGGGATCGGTAGTAGCAGCTATGATAATTTTTGAATGACCTGCCGCACCCTTTTTCATCAAAAAGGGATCGGTAATAGCAGCTATGATAATTTTTGAATGACCGGCCGCACCCTTTTTCATCAAAAAGGGATCGGTAAAAGCAGCTATGCTAATTTTTGAATGCCCTGCCGCACCCTTTTTCATCAAAAAGGGGTCGGTAAGAGCAGCTATGCTAATTTTTTAATGACCTGCCGCACCCTTTTTCATCAAAAGGGGTCGGTAAGAGCAGCTATGCTAATTTTTGAATGACCTGCCGCACCCTTTTTCGTCAAGGGGGTCGGTAGTAACAGCTATGCTAATTTTTAATGACCTGCCGCACCCTTTTTTCATCAAAGGGATCGGTAATAGCAGCTATGCTAATTTTGAATGACCTGCCGCACCCTTTTTCATCAAAAAGGGATCGGTAATAGCAGCTATGATAATTTTTGAATGACCTGCCGCACCCTTTTTCATCAAAAGGGATCGGTAATAGCAGCTATGATAATTTTTGAATGACCAGCCGCACCCTTTTTCATCAAAAGGGGTCGGTAAAACAGCTATGCTAATTTTTGAATGACCTGCCGCACCCTTTTTCATCAAAAGGGTCAGTAATAGCAATATGATAATTTTTGAATGACCTGCCGCACCCTTTTTCATCAAAAAGGGGTCGGTAAGCAGCTATGCTAATTTTTAAATGACCTGCCGCACCCTTTTTCATCAAAAGGGGTCGGTAATAACAGCTATGCTAATTTTTGAATGACCTGCCGCACCCTTTTTCATCAAAAAGGGGTCGGTAATAGCAGCTATGCTAATTTTTGAATGACCGGCCGCACCCTTTTTCATCAAAAAGGGATCGGTAATAGCAGCTATGCTAATTTTTGAATGACCTGCCGCACCCTTTTTCATCAAAAGGGATTGGTAATAACAGCTATGCTAATTTTTGAATGACCGGCCGCACCCTTTTTCATCAAAAGGGATCGGTAATAACAGCTATGATAATTTTTGAATGACCGGCCGCACCCTTTTTCATCAAAAGGGGTCGGTAAAAGCAGCTATGCTAATTTTTTGAATGACCTGCCGCGCGAACCCTTTTGCATCAAAAAGGGATCGGTAATAGCAGCTATGCTAATTTTTGAATGACCTGCCGCACCCTTTTTCATCAAAAGGGGTCGGTAAAACAGCTATGCTAATTTTTTAATGCCCTGCCGGTTTGAATGACCTGCCGCACCCTTTTTCATCAAAGAAGGGATCGGTAAGAGCAGCTATGCTAATTTTTAATGACCTGCCGCACCCTTTTTCATCAAAAGGGATCGGTAATAACAGCTATGCTAATTTTTGAATGACCTGCCGCACCCTTTTTCATCAAAAAGGGATCGGTAATAGCAGCTATGATAATTTTTGAATGACCGGCCGCACCCTTTTTCATCAAAAAGGGATCGGTAATAGCAGCTATGCTAATTTTTGAATGACCTGCCGCACCCTTTTTCATCAAAAAGGGATCGGTAATAGCAGCTATGATAATTTTTGAATGACCTGCCGCACCCTTTTTCATCAAAAAGGGTCGGTAAGAGCAGCTATGCTAATTTTTGAATGACCTGCCGCACCCTTTTTCATCAAAAAAGGGGTCGGTAATAGCAGCTATGATAATTTTTGAATGACCTGCCGCACCCTTTTTCATCAAAAGGGGTCGGTAATAGCAGCTATGCTAATTTTTGAATGACCGGCCGCACCCTTTTTCATCAAAGAAGGGGTCGGTAAGAGCAGCTATGCTAATTTTTTAATGACCTGCCGCACCCTTTTTCATCAAAAAGGGGTCGGTAAGAGCAGCTATGCTAATTTTTGAATTTTAGGAGCAGCTATGCTAATTTTTGAATGCCCTGCCGCTTTGAATGACCGGCCGCACCCTTTTTCATCAAAAAGGGGTCGGTAGTAGCAGCTATGATAATTTTTGAATGACCTGCCGCACCCTTTTTCGTCAAAAAGGGATCGGTAAGAGCAGCTATGCTAATTTTTGAATGACCTGCCGCACCCTTTTTCATCAAAAAGGGGTCGGTAATAGCAGCTATGCTAATTTTTGAATGCCCTGCCGCACCCTTTTTCATCAAAAAAGGGGTCGGTAAGAGCAGCTATGCTAATTTTTGAATGACCTGCCGCACCCTTTTTCATCAAAAGGGGTCGGTAATAGCAGCTATGCTAATTTTTGAATGCCCTGCCGCACCCTTTTTCATCAAAAAGGGGTCGGTAAAAGCAGCTATGCTAATTTTGGAATGCCCTGCCGCACCCTTTTTCATCAAAAGGGTCGGTAATAGCAGCTATGCTAATTTTTGAATGACCTGCCGCACCCTTTTTCATCAAAAAGGGGTCGGTAATAGCAGCTATGCTAATTTTTGAATGACCTGCCGCACCCTTTTTCATCAAAAAGGGATCGGTAATAGCAGCTATGATAATTTTTGAATGACCTGTTGCACCCTTTTTCATCAAAAGGGATCGGTAATAACAGCCAGGCCCGTACGAGGGGCACCGGGGCACGATTTTCGAAATCGGGCGAGGTCGAAAAGTTCATAAGGGGGGACCCTTATGATTTTTCATAAAAAATTTTCTGCCTGCGGCACTATTTATTATTGTTTTTAAAACAATTTAAGCTCAATGAAACATATTTTTTCAAAAATTTTTAAGCTTGCAGCACTAGTTTTTCGGTAATGTATCAGTTTTATTTGTAAAAATTTTGCCTGCGAGGCTTATTTTACATTATTGTTAGCTTATATTAAAAATCTTTGTATTTTTTGGCGCTCTATCCGAATGGCGTTTAAAAATCCCGATCAAAATGGCGAAAGGAGCGAAACCTTTCAGGGCAAAATCTATAGGGCGAGGCAAAAACTTACCGGGGAACCCTTGGGATTTTTCCTCAAAAATTTTTCTGCCTGCGGCGCTGTTTATTACCTGTTTCGGAACGATTTTTACTTCTAAGGAAACCCATTTTCCTAAAATTTTTTGTCTGCGGCGCGCAGTTTTTTCATTAGTGCACCATTTTTGCTGAACAAGAGTTCGATTGCGCGCGCCGTTTCCGATGTGTTTTTCACCCGAATTTCCTAAATTTTTCGCCTGCAGCGCTATTTATTGTCGCATTTTCGAATGTTTTGAAGTGGCGACCGGGGGGGGTCATAAAAAATTTTTGGGTGGGTGCTCCCGAAATCTCGGCTCCATTACGGGCCTGATATGGTGCCGATAATTTTTGAATGACCTGTTGCACCCTTTTTCATCAAAAGGGATCGGTAATAACAGCTATGATAATTTTAGATGACCTGTCGCACCCATTTTCGTCAAAAAGGGATCGGTAATAGCAGCTATGCTAATTTTTTAATGACCTGCCACACCCTTTTTCAGCAAAAAGGAATCGGTATTATCAGCTATGATAATTTTGAATGCCCTGCCGCGCCCTTTTTCATCAAAAGGGATAGGTAATAGCAGCTATGATAATTTTTGAATAACCTGTTGCACCCTTTTTCATGTTAAAGGGATCATTAATAGCAGCTATGATAATTTTTGAATGACCTGTTGCACCCTTTTTCATCAAAAAAGGATCGGTAATAGCAGCTATGCTAATTTTTTAATGACCTGCCGCACCCTTTTTCATCAAAGAGGATCGGTATTCGCAACAATATGATAATTTTTGAATGCCCTGCCGCCCTTTTTTCATCAAAGGGATTCCCAGTAATAGCAGCTATGATAATTTTTGAATGACCTGCCGCACCATTTTTCATCAAAAAGGGATCGGTAATAGCAAATATGATAGTTGCAGAATGACCTACCGCACACTTGCACCATCAAAAAGGGATTGAGTATGAGAGCCATGCCTAATTTTTAATGACCGGCCGCACCCTTTTTCATCAAAAAGGGATCCGGTAATGCCAGCTATGATGATTTTTAGCGAATGACCTACCGCACCCTTTTTCATCAAAAGGAGGGATAGGTAATAACAATAATACTAATTTTTTTAATGACCAACCCGACCATTTTTCGTCCCAAAGGGATCGGTAATCGCCCAGCTATGATGATTTTTGAATGACCGGCCGCACCCTTTTCATCAAAAAAGGGTCAGTAAGAACAAATATGCTAATTTTTCAATGCCCTGCCGCTTTGAATGACCGGCCGCACCCTTTTTCATCAAAGAAGGGGTCGGTAAGAGCAGCTATGCTAATTTTTCAATGACCTGCCGCACCCTTTTCCCTCAAAAGAGGGGTCGGTAAGAGCAGCTATGCTAATTTTTGAATGACCTGCCGCACCCTTTTTCGTCAAAAAAGGGATCGGTAAGAGCAGCTATGCTAATTTTTAATGACCCTGCCGCACCCTTTTTCATCAAAAAGGAAATCAGTAATAACAGCTATGCTAATTTTTTAATGACCTGCCGCACCCATTTTCATCAAAAAAGGGGTCGGTAAGGGCAAATATGCTAATTTTTGAATTTTAGGAGCAGCTATGCTAATTTTTTGGTACCCTGCCGCTTTGAATGACCCGCCGCACCCTTTTTCATCAAAAAGGGATCGGTAGTAGCAGCTATGATAATTTTTGAATGACCTGCCGCACCCTTTTTCGTCAAAAAAAGGGATCGGTGAAAACAACTATGATAATTTTTGAATGCCCTGCCACTTTGAATGACCACCCGCACCCTTTTTCATCAAAAAAGGGATCGGTAGTAACAGCTATGATAATTTTTGAATGACCTGCCGCCACACCCTTTTCATCAAAAGGGGTCGGGTAATACCAAACTATGCTAGTTTTTGAATATGACCTGCCCGACCCTTTTCATCAAAAGGAGAGTTGGTAATAAGCAGCTATGCTGAACATTTTGCTGACCAGCCGCACCCTTTTTCATCAAAAAGGGTCGGTAAGGAGAGCAGCTATGCTAATTTTCAATGCCCTGCCGCTTTTTATCTAATGACCTGCCGCGCCCTTTTTTCATCAAAAGGGATCAGTATGCTGTATACTAATTTTTGAATGACCAGCCGCACCCTTTTTCATCAAAAAAGAGGGTCGGTAATAGCAGCTATGCTAATTTTGAATGACCGGCCCGCACCGCTTTTTCATCAAAAAAGGGTTGAGTATGCTTTCGCTCCCGAAAAAAACCATTTCCTCAGCGGTCTGTCTCTCGACGGCCTTCGTAAAGACGTATTTGCTAAAGGCGTAGTCGACAGCTACGACCGCATACTTGTGTTTCCTCGCCGTCAATTGGCAAGGCCAGGCCAAGTGAAGAGCGGTCACCCGCATTACGTGGCGGATCGTATTGCCCCAACGGCGATCGGATGGAATAGTGCCGTGGATCCTTCCTGCGTTGGCAGGGGAGACAGCCATTCACGAAAGATGTGATATCTTGCTCCATGTGATTCCAAATTGTACACACTGCAATTCGGTCCCTTGGTTTTCTTAATTCCAAGGTGAGCGGCTTGGTCAAGTCAACTATAATAAAAAAGTTGTGGTGTCTGTCCGTCTGTCCGTCTGTCCGTCTGTCCGGTCCCGAATTCAACTCGAAGGGGAAAGGAGCTAGAGCTTAGCTCTCTTCCAGATTCGGATGAAGAGAGTGGTCAGAAGCCCCCAAAATGATAAAAAAATTATGAAAAGTTTTAGTTTAAATTATTAAAATTAACTTTGAAAAGTTTTTTCGTTAGTAAAAGGGGTGGAGGCCCCTCTTCCGGGAGGCCACGCCCCCTTTCCCTTCGCCCCTCTTCCCCAGGCCCTTTCCCGCGTCCAAATAGCTTTTTGAAGTTACTTTAATACTTTTAATACTTTTTTATTATATTAATTTATTATTGAAATCATTTAAAGTATCGGGATGGAATCTAAGTAGTTTTTGGAAGGGGATTTCGGCTATGGGGGGTATCTGAAGACCACCAGGAAGGTATCAAAGTAGTTTTTAAGGGGTTTCGGCTATGGGGTATCTGATCCACGTTTCATTTGGCTTCCGTAGGTTCAGGCTGATTCGTTCCCCTTTCCCCACGGCGGCGGCCAGTCGCCGCTCCGGGGTCCCGCCACGAATAAGCCTGCCCGTTCAGGGGTGGTGCCAAGTCCCCTCGCCACAGTCGAAGGGGAGGCTTTTGCTCATTGCGTGTGTGTGTTTTTCTATCTTTTTCTTGCTTTTATGATGTCTTCATTTACCTCTAAATTTTCATTACTTTCTTTTCGTTTGCTGTTAGCTGGTCCGCTTTTCTACTCAAAATTCCTTTCAGGTCAGTGCATAGCAGGTCGGCACGAAAAAAGAACAGCCTCCGCACGTACATTTTTCCAGGTAGCCTCTAGCTTGATTTACTTCATTTCAATGTTTAGGCGCAACGGTTTCCTCCCCCGGCAGCCTCATCCGCGTCGAAACGCGTCGTCATTCAAGTGAATTTTGCTTGGTAACCTCGAGCTTTCTTTCCTCTATTTTAATGTTTAGGCGCAACGGTTTCCTCCCACGGCAGCCTCATCCGCGTCGAAACGCGTCGTCATTCAAGTGAATTTTGCTCGGTAACCTCGAGCTTTCTTTCCTCTATTTTTAATGTTTTAGAGCGCAACGGTTTCCCCTCCCCGGCAGCCTCATCCGCGATCAAAACGCGTCGTCATTCAAGTGAATTTTGCTTGGTAACCTCGAGCTTTCTTTCCTCTATTTTAATGTTTAGGCGCAACGGTTTCCTCCCCCGGCAGCCTCATCCGCGTCGAAACGCGTCGTCATTCCAAGTGAATTTTGCTTGGTAACCTCGAGCTTTCTTTCCTCTATTTTAATGTTTAGACGCAACGGTTTCCTCCCCGGCAGCCTCAGGCGCGTCGAAACGCGTCGTCATTCAAGTGAATTTTGCTTGGTAAGCTCGGGATTTCTTTCTTCTATTGAAAGTTTTAGGCGCAACTTGCTTTTCCAGCACGTATTTGCGCGCACGCACGGTACCGACCCAAAAACAGCCGCATTATAAAGGTAACGATATTTTATCGCTTAACATTTCCTTCTCAGGCCAGGGCGGGTGGTGGTGGAAACCTAGGCTTAAAGAGGTATCTGCTAGCGCCTTTTTTGCCCTTGCGTTTTTCTAAGAATCTCTGCTAGCTTACCCCGACGATCTGTGCACGAATTCCTCATGAGACTCTGCTAGCTGACTTTTCTATGTTCCGGCAGATTTTCTGCTAGCTTCTCAAAGAATCTCTGCTAGTTGGCCTGCTTGTTTTTTGAGCTGGATTTTGAAGGGCCCTTTTTCGTTGAAATTTTTATTTTTACCCGGTTCCGGAGACTTTCTGCTAGCAGTATCTCGCAATTTTCGGCTCCATTTCTCAAAAAATCACTGCTAGCTTGCCTCCAATTGCCATAAGCATTCATTAAAGGAACGTGGAAGGTCAAACAGAGTCAAGAATTTGCTGTAGATTTGCCTTCAAGGCCTCTTTGAATCCGATTTTCAGGTGAATTGCACGGATGTGGACCGTCGATCAGACGAGATGCGTGGCGTATTTCCGATTGTCGAAGAGGAAAGCTGCTATCCGGGTGCCACTGACGAGAGCATTGTCGATCGCATATTTATACATCTTGGGGACCAATCCAGGTATTGACTACGAGCGGAAACTACAGACTACAAATCACGTTTTATGCACATAACAGTTTTCAAACTTTGAAGCCAATACCTAATACACCGAATTGCATAGCGTAATCAGATGAAAACGGGTAAATACCAGGCAAGGATACGCAAGATTCTCGCTTTGTAATCAGAAAGCGCATTACATCCTACCGTATGGGAGTAAAGAACGTACCGTAACCTGTCACTTTGAAATTTCGTTGTAGATTCATCCGTCGTGCCACCCGTCAACGCCAATTTGTCGTCGCCCACGGCCTCGATTCCCAGCCTACTACTTACGATGTTACAGGTACCGTATATTACCGTACCCCAAAAATATCCATATTTTAGGCTGGGTCCGACAGGCTCAAGCGAGTGATCCATCGATTGGGCTGAGGAAACTGTTGTACGCCAGCAATAGGTGGGTTAAAAGTTGGACGCGTACCTCTGTTTTTTCATTGCGTAATCGACTATACCTTAAAAATACCAGACTCAAATAGACAAAAAAATTGTATTTAGCGCCACGCTGCGAGAACTGCTTGCCCCGAGCGGACTGTCGGCCGGCGATTCAAATCTGAAGCTACGCAGAGCTACTCAATCCGTTACGTCATGTAAGTTTCCTTGCTCGTGCCTTGAAAATGGGTGGTTTTGCGACGCGTTTCTTGTTCTTTTCTTGTTTCTTGTTTCACTCTCTTGAAAACGCTCCATGTTTCTTGGTGGCTCTAAAGAGACAAGGCCAGCAAGAAAATCGAGAAAATAACCAAAATTTTCTAGTCGACCAAGCCGGGCTTCTGCGGCGTCAGAGAGCACGGATTTGCCGCAAATCTTGCACATCAGATTGTGAGTTTTCTGGATTTTTAGCATTATATATCAGTAAAGTATGCACCTAAGATGCGGGCGTAAAGCGTATGCATTTACGTAAATCGTAAAACATGGGCTTTATTCTACCGTATTCATTAAAAAAAGGTTTTATTAATGAGTCAAAATACGTACCGTACGTCAGTTCTTAACAAAGTAGTCAAGTTGAAAAGCGTACTTTCGTCTATAAATCGCAATTTCGTAAAAAGCGTACTATTATCGATCGTCATCGGGAAAAATTACTATTAACAACCGTATTCAGTAGAAAACGTCTTATAGGATACGGTAAGCGCATAGAATGCACCGTAGCCTAGCGTAACCAGCAGGCAATGGAAAAAACGTGGGACTGTCGCCCGAAAACCGTAAAAATCAGATTATTTCTGCCGTAATCAGTAAAAACCCGTCATACCGTAACCGGTCAAAAATGTACAAAAATCTATGGCAATCAAGAAGCAATGTACTGTGGTCTACCATAATCCAAAACATTCCTTAATCGACCGTAAGCGGGAAAAACGTACTGTCATCGACCGCAATTAAGAAACAATCTACAGTATCTACCGTAATCGAGCAAGAAACCATTTTTCGCGATTTCCTTTTTGTCTTCGAAACATCGAATTTTTCTCTTTTTCACTAGTAGTGCGGTCCATTCCTCATTCCTCAACATCAAAGATGCCCACGCTTTTTTGCTGGTAAATCGAGGCTTTTGCCCCTCTACCCCTCGCCCCCCGCCCCATTACGCCGAACAACAAATGACGGTCCGCAGGGGGGGGGGGGAATCCGTAGATTCAACAAGGGTATTCCCCTCCACCATTCATCGCTATTTGTCCCTCATCTGTGTGGTTGTACCAAGGGGTTTTTGCGGGGGTAAATGGTCTTGGCTTGCTTGCCTGGGGTTCGAGTCGATTCTAAATAAATGGCCTCTGCTAGTTTGCTTTGGCGTTTCGGTCAATTCTAAAGGTCTCTGAAAGCTTGCTTTACCGATTTTATCCGTCCTAAATGATCTCTGCTAGCTTGCTGGATCGTTCTGATCCATTCGTAAATACCTCTACTGGCTTCCTTAGCGTTTGAAGCAGTCCTAAATCCAGTTTTTGCAAGTTTATAGGAGCTCAAAAAATTTTTTACCAAGTTGCGCCCCCATTTTGTAAATTTTCTAATTAATAGTGCAGCCGTTGCACTCTGCCGCCAACAATCTCGGCTAGCTTGCCCAATGCTTTCGAAAAATGAGCTCAATACCCGAAGGGTCTCTGCCAGCTTGCCCCACGCTCAAAAACCAATTTTTTTGGGAGAAGAGAGGAATGAAACGGGTTCAACTAGTTTTCTCAACTATGATTTTTTGCAACCTCACAGCCTAACAAGGAAATTCGTGAATTTTCAATGCATCTTTGCTGGCTTGCCCTGGTCGACCTGACCCCTCGGACTTTAAACTTCCCCAAAAACCTTGGCTAGCTTGTCACCTGCCTACGTTTCCCCTCAAAACATCGTTTATTGGAAAGGGAAAGTGTCATTAGTTTGTCTTGATAGTACCCCCCTCTCTCTCTCTCTCTCGTCCCCCTTTTTTTTTTTTATTATAATTCCCCTTAATGTGCTGCCCATTAACCCACCCCCTCATAAATGTTTGACATTCAACATTCTCGTGTTCCTCGAGAAGCATTCATTCTATTTACCCCTTTCTAAAATACTTATTTTCTTTCTGTTTTCGTACTCAATTAGGGCGGTCATTTTTAGGAAACCTGGTTCCCCCGTAAAACTCGGTGAATGGTGGAGTATTTCCGTAATCACGGCAATGTAATTCGCGAGGTGAGATCCTAAAAAAGGGCGGATTTTTGTCGCTTGTTTTATTTAAGTAATGTGTAGAAACATAGAGATTGAGGTGTTTCTCCATACCAGGGAAAAATCCTAAAATTTGAGCCCGAAAATCCAGAATCCAATCCGGCTGCCTGCCGGCTGGTGATTTGATTCGAGCCCCGGGGGTTGGAAATGTCTTGTCTTGTCTATATCAGCCAATATCGGAGAGAGAGAGAGAGAGAGAGAGAGAGATAGTTCACTCTTCCCAGAAACACCAGGGCAGCCGATCGGGCGGCGTCTCTATTTTGCATACGGGATCCATGGATTGTATTTGTCGTCCCTTCTCTCTCTCTCTCTCTCTCTCTCTCTCTCTCTCTCTCTCTCTCTCTCTCTCTCTCCTCCCTCTGCTCTCTCTCACTCTCTCTCTCTCTCCGTCTCTCTCTCTCCCTCTTGCTTCACTCTTTCTCTCTCTCGCTCTCTCTCTCTCTCTCAATTACATTGCGATCCAAATAACCGCTCCAAAAACTGTCATTAGTTTGTCGCTCGTACTCGACGACCTATCAACCGATCAACCCCGATTTTACGATCCTAATCTAGAGATGTGGACTTATATACCGTAATGATATCTTAAAAAGCTATAATGAAGTTTTAAAGGTATCTAGTACTCTAAAACGCTTTCTAACCCCCTAGGAAAAAATTAAGCGCTACCAAATATCTACGTAAGTAATTGACCACGGAGATGGGTAAACGTTATCTTATAAATTCCCGATTTAGGACTACGTCTTTTCCGTTGTACGCCGCTCACCCCGTGCCCATTTCGTGCATTGTATACAGCCGTCGCCGAACAGTGGAAACTCTGCGCAGGTTTGTGGAAAGACATCTAAAAACCCTGATTTTCCAGATGCTAGCCTCCGGGCTTTCGACGCAGGACCCGGTGGATGTACCATTTGTCAGGGGTCAGATGCGGAGTATTCTGCTGATCGACACAGTGAGAGCGAATAACAGGGGTGAGTACTGTCGCTTTGAGCATACTGTGAATTTCGTTGCGTAATAGGTTACGCGTTTTTAGCAGCGGGACGCGGCGTGCGCGTTGCGTGCCGCGGGCTCTGAAAATGTCGAATCCATGGCTAAAAACGATAATCTGGCCTTGCGCGTCCCTTAAACCACGCCCTTTTTTCCAGGATACCCCGAGCGAGTGTCGTTCCGTGATTTCCGGCGTCGTTTCGGTTGTCTGACAGATGATGGCCAGGGCGCGGCGACGATCGATGATGAAATGGATGGTAATTTTAGGGTCAAAAGTCGATAAAAGTATTTTTCAGACCGAGCAGCCGTTCAAAAAATCATGGATCGAATGGACATTCATGCACATCGCTATCGACTCGGCATCAGTCAGGTTTGTGGAGGGAAGGGCAGGCTAGCAGGGATTCTTGTGAGAATCCACCCCGAAACACAGCCTGAAACCCGCTTCACTTTTGTTTCTAGGTTCTGCTCCGCTCCGACGTCCTCTCCGAGCTGGAAGATCGCGGGGATCTCGGTCTCGGGCTCATCGTCGCCTTCCAACGGGAGGCCCGTCGTCACCTCGCCACCAAGTGGCTACAGAAGCGTCGCGTACTCGAGACCGCTATTCGGTGCATACAGGTTGAATTTGAAAATTCTAGCTGCCAATAAGGTGACCAAAAGCCTGAGCCGACCAAGCCTAAGCTGATGTCAGCCCAGGCCTAATCCGAAGCCTAAAATGACGGCTACCAACGCCTAGGCTAAGCCCAAGCCTGAACTAGCCAAAACCAAGTACGAAGCCTAAGCTTAAGTTGAGGCCAAAACCATAGCCTAAGCACAAACCCCTAAGAAGCTAACCTTAAGCCTAAGCCTAAGCTAAGGGCACCTAAGCAGAGTTCGCCAAGTCCTAACTATCTTAGTAAGGTGGGTGAATAT